AAGATCCAAAGCAGAGGAGGAAACTTCCTGCTGCGAGCAGCGCAGCATCACAGAGACCGTCATCAACGGCTCCATGAAAGAAACCGTCAGTCTCACTGTTGACGCCAAGACTGAGACAGCCGTCTTCAAGAGGTTCGCTTAACTTGTCTGCACACAAAAACATTACATAGCTGGACTTAATGATTTATTTAAACTACAATCAGCTCCAGTGGCCAGTACCTGTTTTAGTTGTTCTACAAACTCAATAATAGTGGTTTTAGGGTCCACACTGGATATGCTGAAAAGCTTATTTTCTTATTCCAGCTTGGTTTGCAATAGAAATGTATACATCTTAAAGTAAACCGGTGTATGCTACAAAAATACTGTTCACAACATGGTGCAACAACGTTTCAGTTTTACAAGATGGGATGACTTGATCCCTGACGTTTGAAATGTTTTTCCTTTCCTGAACCTGCAGCTTTAGAAGTCAGTCGTCCTCTGTCCCTCTGTCCTTTTTGTTTGATATTGCAATTATACTGTGTGTCTGTGTCTGTAAATAACAACTGTCTGATAAACTGAGCGACACTTACAACCTGAGCTTCCCCTCTCTCTCTTGCTGTGCGTTGTGGGTGTGGTCTTCTTCAGAGTGTTGAAATCTTATCGGTATGTACAGCCAATTAGAGATCAGCCTGCAGCCGTGATGTAGTCTTGTTGTCACGTCAACCACCAACTTTTCTTTCCCAATTTCAAACTTCTTGGTTCCAGCTCCTTGTTTGTTTAATTCATTATCTCCATTCTGCATGTTTTTCTTACCAAAGGTGTCATCAAAGTGCAGTAGCTCCAATTAAGGATGACTTACCAGGTCAAACAAAATTAACACAGGGCTACTTAAGGAATTGAGTTGTTTATTAGTAGTTGATCTATTAATAGATATTAGTTTTCTAAATTTTTATTGGACCCTTTGCTGCCATTAACCATCTTTATGGCTAAAGTCCTTCTCTTAGCCATGGTTTTGATCTTTAAAAAAAAAAACGGTGAGAAAATCAGTTCAACCGATTCTTCAGAGAGAGGAGCTGTCTATCACAATCATTATCACTGCATAACCTGTTACTAGCAAATGGAGGTGGTGCAGTGAGCTGTAGACCTTTCACTCTAGCACCAGGAGTGTCTGGATTAGTATTCCAGTCAACGGACATCAAAGTATTTAATTTACTAGTTCTGTTCAGTACAATTCAGCAAACTAATTGACCAACCAAAATGTGGTTGTAAAAATCTAGGAAGCGTGGCAAAAGATAATTTGATTATTATAAGCACAACATATTCTGTATACCTTTACTCAGTATACATTTATATAACAATCCAGTTAAACCCCTGTGTTGTAATTTCCTCAAATTAAATGTATATTTTGTGTAGTTATTGTTTTATTTGAACAAGGTCAATTGGCCTAAATTCCAACATTTTGTTTGTTGTAATGGGGTATGACTGGAGTTGTAATTAAATGTAACACAGAATTGATTGAGAATTATACTATGTATTTGAATTTACAGTTTGAACAAGGTGACATTTTATTCAGAGAGGACCAAAGGTTTTACATTCACGGGGATATCATGAAAGTGAATTTAGACAAATTACTTTGAAGCATGATTTGATTGTATAGACGCTATTGTTTTTGGTCAAGAAAGATGTTTTCCTTAAATACAGTCGTTGGTGGTCTGCAATATGGTAAATGTATTTTACTTATCCTGCAGAATGACAAATAACTGTTATGTACCATGTTGACAGAATGTATGTCTATGGTTGTTTTGCTTTGATTGAGGCCTCATCAAGATCATTGGTGGTTCTCTGAGACAAGGCAAGACTGATGGCTGGCGAAAAATTGATTTTGGTGTAATCAGTGTCCGGGTGACCTTGTAGGCCCGCATAGTGTTTGCTGGCTCTGTAGCTCTGACAACATCAACAAAAACGTTCTACTTTCTCCATTTGCTGTACATTTTGACACTGTCCACTGAACTCCCCATTTCTACACCTTCATCATTTGTTTTACTGTGTGCTCTGTTAGTCAGTTCAGCATGCATCACTGTTCACATCTCACTGTGTTCTGTGTTTCTATGGCCAATGTGTGATCAGTATGACACTCTTCTTGTTGTTACTGCATTAACATGTATCTTTGTTTTATGTGTGTGTGTTCCAGTGATGAAGAGAAGAGCACAGCTTCAGAGAAATACTCAGTGACAGAGTGTGTGGAGTTGGAGCGAACAGGCATCAACAGCTCAGCAGCTGCCTGCTGCCCCAAACCAGGGTCAGACATTTACCCAATACAACACGAGATGATTTTGTCTGATTTTTTTTTTTTTTTTTTCGTTTGTTTAATTTTGTGTGTGTGTGTGTGTAAACAGTGAAAAATGTCGGTCCGCTGCGGAGCTTCCCAATGGTCCTTTAGAAGACATGTCAGCCGTAGAGGAAGTCAAGTAAGTCTGCCCCTGCTTACAATTATTAGTGAGTTCATTTGGGCACATTTTAAAAATTTTGTTCAATTCTGTCTACATTTAATACTGTTAGAACTTAACGGCATTCATTAATTTGTGAATTTGTGGCTGACTTGTGTTGTACGAGCCTCACTGAGTGGAGGGCAGTGAGTTAGTCTACAGGTGACTGACACAATTGTCAAATGGATTGGAATGCACTGTAGACTGCTTTGAAAAAAACCATGATCCACTAAACCACCATCAAGATCCACAGTAATACCTGAAATCCACCAACACTATTATCTACTGTTGCAAAGCTTAAAGCTCTTTCAATTTTCCTGAATCAAAAAAGAAAGGGTTCCACATGAGGGCTAGTTATTTTTACTGGCTGTGATGTGATGATATAACTGTGGTGCTTTAAGCAGCAGCAGCAGTTCTTAACCCTGGACTGAGTAAGTTCCACTGCTGCATGCCAAATATTAATATTAGCCACAGGGGCTCAAAATAGCTGTGGGTGAGTGGAAATGTGACATGATTTAATTATTTTAAAATACATATCTTTATTTCCTTCTGTTTCCTAGAAACTCTGCCAGAGAAAAAATAACATGTCCAACTGTCTGCGTGTCTTTTTCCAGACTGGACCAGAGTTCTGTGTCCTCAGAGCCAGCTGTGAATAGGCCGGCGTGAGGGTCGCATGAAGTCAGCCAAAGGCCGGCCTGTTCTGCCACGCAGAGCTCTCCTCCTGGCTCTCCAGCAGAGGTCACTGTTCAGAGCTCTACCAATCACAACGCCCCCTCCAGGACCAGCAATACTCCCATCAGCTCATCACTGACAGTCCCACAGACAGGTGTACAGACACAGGATGAACTGAAATGCAAAACCAGAGACCTACTTAAATGGATACTATTTTTTCTCCCTCTCCTGCATTTGTTTATATACTATTGTTCTTATGAGGTGATGTGCGACTGAAGTCTTGCCACTCAAAATTAAATAGTAATGTTGCTATAGTTAAAGAAATGATTGTATGAATAAAATATTTTATAAAAAGAAAAATGAATACAGAAAAGTAAGAATGAATTACCACGGAAGAAGGAATTGCTGATGGCTGACCACTGAAGGCACGTTTCTACTGCAGAGAATCAGAGACATCAGAGTTGGTTTTCACTAAATGTGACATCATCTGTGACTCTCAACTATTGGGGCAAATGAAATACTGTATTAGTATTAGAAGGTAAAGGGTTAAGTTTTAATCATGGATTTTTACAAAGTAGCTTTGAATGACCATGATACCTCCATGTAGGTGTGAAATCTCAGTGGAAACGTGTTTACTAGTGGGATAGCGTTTCTTTACACCATAACCTCAATTTTTCTCTTATTCCTTTTCCATCGTTAGTTTAAGTCTCTGAGCAGAACAGCTCCTTTAAATTTAAACACATTCTCTAATGTTGCAGGTTTTTTTGTACATGTTTTTGATTCCTCTACATTGACAAGCATTTTTGGTAGATATTTTTTAATTTATTATTGAAGTACAATTACATTTTGTAACTTGAGCCACACCTACACTCTGCGTCTTTAGACAAGCTGCGTTGATGTTAATTGCGTTCCTAGCTTGAAGTCTTCGGAAGATGTATACAGGCACATCTAGGAAGCTAATTGGAGAAAAGTGTTGTTAATTACAAACTAAAGACAAGACCAATTAAAGGCCATTTAAAGGTTTCTGTCTACACTGCAGAGGTCAGTGTGTCGTGAATGTCGTCATTGGACCACGTCCATCATGGTTAAACTCTTACCATGTGCAACACATTTTGTATAGTATTATATTGGTGCCTACTTTAGGTAGGACCACTACCACATGGAAATAAAGTAAAAGGTAAAATCTGGTGGGAATGCTTGAAATACTAGACTAACAAGATACTGCAAATATTTGGACTATATTGACATGATGGCACGGCAGTCGCTGCAGAATATTAGGGTGGAAATTCATTAAAACATTCTCTTGTTTGGTTATAGATTGCCTTTATTTGTATTTTCCTGAAATTATACATACTCTGTGTTGTTGCTCTGAAATTAGAGATACAAATAAGCAGGTAGTACCTTTTAGGTTCCAGCACTTAGGAATGGGTCTAAGGAATAAGGCCATATTTAAAAAAAGAATAATAATAATCTGATGTCAGCTCTTTCTTACAATTACATAAAAATTGTGTTAACTTTATTGGACGTGTATGTAGGTTTCCCCGCCATCCAGGTCATCTCACCCGAAGCAATTGACTTTTAACACGGAAATAAAGAAGCCTCTCGAGTGGTTTTCGTCTTCAAGAAAACAAGACGATCCGGGTGCTTTCCACTGTTGCTTTTTCCGAACTTATTGTGTGACCTTGAACGTAAGAAACCAAAAAATACAATTTTTAACGCTAGTTAATTAATTTTTTGTTTGTTTGTTTGTTTTGTACACGTAAAAATATCATGTCCACACCGTATATCTAAAGAAGCTTAGCCGCCCACATTCCTGAAAGACAAAACAGCGGGTTAGTGTGAATATTTATTGCGGTGTGATGACGTCAGAGCAGTAGTTGTTGACAGTCAGTGTTAAAGATGGCGTGTCAGCGAAGTCTTGGGCAGATCTGACTTACTGGTTTTCTTGGTTTTATCTACTCTCGTCGTTTCTATGAGTTATGCAGGACAGATACAGTGAAATTGGCTTCGTCCAGCAAATCCTCGGACTAAATTTGGTGCCAAGAAAAAACGGCACGCAGAGAGGAAACGACACATCTCTGAGTGACTTCTCCGGTGAGCTAATGTTGAGCTAAGTGTAGCTAATGGGCTTAGTGTTACGTGGGAACAGCGGTTATAAACTGAGGTGCACTTTATTTATATATTTACTCAAATGTATTTAAATCAACCCACTAATACTGAAATGCGTCACTCATTCACTCGTTTATGTAACTTTGATGAATTCGTAAATCTGGCTAACTTCCGGTCTTAGCAGAGTTGGAGGATAAAGATAATGCAGTAAATATAGTTCCAGACCAACCTTCTTCCAGACGTAAACATTATTGCGTACCTCTACTGTATCGCATCACTAAACCCTAATGCAAAGATTTCCATGTGTTCTACAGGGAATATAATCCCACGTATAGAACTTGTTTCGATGTGGCTCCTAGAACTCTGAGAGTAATATTTCTTATACGACTATATGTTTTCGTAGAAATGTGGTACGGGGTGTTCCTGTGGGCTGCAGTCTCTTCTCTGGTTTTCCACCTGCCTGCTGCCCTTCTCTCGCTCTCTACGTTGCGTCAACACAAGGTGGCGCGCTTCATGCCTCTCGCCATTCTGCTCATGGGCATCATGGGACCAGTGTGTGGGGGCGTCCTCACTAGTAAGTAAACCCAAATAATAAGCTATTGATGTCTGCACAAAAAATAATAAGTTATTTCGCAAACCAGGCACATTTGGCCAATGAAGAGTGGGTTTTAACCATTCTAATTGGAATTGTTTGTCTTTGTGTATTTATGTGTTATCTTTCTCATGCTCTTTAGGTGCAGCCATAGCTGGAGTCTACAAGGCTGCAGGAAAGACTATGATATCATTGGAGGCGCTGGTCTTTGGGGTTGGACAGTCCTTTTGTGTCCTCCTCATCTCCTTCCTCAGAGTCCTGGCCACTCTTTAGCAGTGACTGGACTTAAGTGACACCTTGTCTTCACTGGACGACACTTTAACTCAGATCCTGGGACATATGGGAGTTAGTTGTGGATCATGATTTTATTTCCTTCCATAGAGAATGACCTGCTGTGGGTTAACGCTGTGTGTGCGCTCTACATGACTGAATCTTTGGCCTAACTCTGGAAGTGTGCTTGTGAAGTTGACATCCAAAGATTAACAAACACTACAAAACCTGTCTCTAAATAGTTTGAACCACTACAATAACACAGTCTGTGTCGTGTGTTGCTAATATCAACAAAGTAGAAGTGTATTCTCGCCCTCTGTGCACACACACTTTCACTACTCCTACAGTTGTTTTACAATATTGAATATAATTCAGTGCTGCTAATTTTAAAAAACAATGATATTGTTGGTTCTCTCCTGTGTGTGTTTATCCTTCATGGTTTGAAAACTAAAATTCTCAGGACCAGTTGTCTTCACAGGGACCAGATCCAGGTAAAATTAATGGTTCTTGCCCAGCTTTTGTGTGTGTGTGTGACTGACAGCTGTGATGTGTGTGACAGATTTTAGACTTGAGCCGTTTGTTCGTATTTACCAGCCCCACTGTCAGGTTAGTAAAGAGTGAGTGTCTGTGTCTCAGGGAAGTTCTTGGTGGAAGAAAAAATACTATATTTTAACAGGTCTCAGTCCTGACTGTGGCCGACATTGTTCACTCACTGACAGTGCTTTGTTGACGTGAGACTCTTTCTATGCAACATGCTTCTGAAGCTTCCTCCTGATGCCTTACTGTCCATTCTGATGAGCTTTGCTTCATCGTTGTTGGATCCATTCCTTATCAACCTATGATTTGTTTTCCAAGATCCAAACGATCAAGCACCACTGACCTGCAGAGAAGCGCTTCCTGTTTCTCTGCTCTTCCTTTATCTTATTCAATCGTCTGGAGTGAAAAGATCATCAGCGGGAACCAAGATTTCGGCAAAATTCCAACAAAATGTTGTTTTCCCCATAAATTGTAGTGTAAATTATTGAAGTGCAGTTATTTGATTTATTCTTCCCAGGTTTTCGATAAATTTCATTGTTTCTGACCAAATACAAGAAACTGTCTTGTGAAAAGTTGTTGTTCATTCATTTTTCCTTCACACAACACAGATCAGATCATAAGTCGAGTAGGTAAAATGAACATGGTTCTCTCAGGTTCTGACTGGGTCTGGTTTCATCAAATGTGAATTCCTCTATTGGTGACTGAGAAACAAATACATGTGCAGTGGACCACATGTTACTTGTAAAAAGTGCAACATTTGACCCCTGGTCCTTATTTTTGACATGTCTAATGATATACTGAGGCCAGTTTTTGAAATATTGAACATGTATTTATTAATGGCAGGTTACAGATTGTAGAAACAGGTTGATCCCCTCAGCTGAGGAACACTGGGACTCTCCATTCTCTACTTCTTCTGCTTGTAGTCTTCCAAGTGGGCCATTATCCAGCCAGATGGAGCAAGGATGGCCACAAACATGGTCGCCAAAGCAATAGCATGTTCCTGTGGGACACACACAGACACACACACACATTTTAAGTGTTTGTGATTACTTCAGACAATAGACAGTGTAGTTTGTAACCCTAATCTTAATCTGGAAACTTAAATACCCCCTTATTGGGACCTGCCCACATGTCTACATAGGCCACACAAGAATAGGATAAGCGGCACAGATGTATACATGAGGAAATGTAAAATAAAATAAAAAAAGTCAAATCAAAACTTAAACTACATTTGAACCAAACTGGATTTCAGTCTATAGTCAAGACTGAATCAAAATGTTCCCCTGGAATTCTCCAAAGGAGGAATTCTTTGATGACAACAGTTCCTGCAGATGAGTTAAGACTCAAATGGATACATGAAGAAACTTTTTTAAAAATTCTTCTATTTTTAATACAATTTTCTAACTTATCCTTAGGCTGAACATTAAAATGATCCTTCACTGGTTGGGTTTGGTTGCAGTTGAGGTTGTGGATATCAGACATCACTACATAACACTAAGGTACATCAGTGTAGGGCACTGAAGATCTTCATTCTGGTCTTTCTTAATTAGGAGCCAATCCTAATTGACGTAATCAATGGAAAACCCAGTGTTTATTGCCCTTCTACTCTTTTACTTTATTTTTCTTTATTTTATAAACAGGATTGGACAAAAATGGAATAATGTTTTATTGAAAATTATACCTGGTATTTATGATTTATGAATATAGGAAATCAAAACAACTGTTATCATTGAATGACATTAACTGTAGATGTGTACCAGGTTAAACTGTGACACAAATATCAAAGAAACAGAAGAAAAACGCTCTAAGATTTCTAACCTGGGGCTGAACTCTGTTATGAAAAGAGTTTGAAATTCTACCTTCATAATGGAGGACACAATAATAAATACATATTCAGGATTAACACACATTAAGCCTGATGACCAGATGTTAGCAGCAGACATTTTTGTTCAGGATGTGTTTTTTATGGGGTTTTTTTCACACAAATCCAAAAAACGGTGAATATAAATTTGTGATTCATAATAAAATCCCAAATGCTGTGTGTGTAATCTCCATGTCTGACCTTGGTCTGGCCCAGGGTCACAGATTTGACATACGTCACATGAAACCAACAGTTGGACCATAAAGTTAGGCTGTTCTTCCTCTTTCCTGTGACACCGTGAGGTCGACGTCACATGCACATTGTCTTCTATAACTTTCTATTTCTGTAACTGAGGTGTACGTGTTGGAAATGGGTCGAATAATGGCGTGACGATGACGCACTTATCAACAGACTTTATGATATCAGCCTTTCTTCTTGACGCACTGTTGATATTAACAGTCAACTCAGTGCCACAGTAAAATAAATTATATTCAAAGACAATACATTAAAATAACGTATAAGGCACTTATATATATAGAAATATAAAAAAATAACTTTTCAAAACAGGTGCAGAGCCTGAGAGAATGTGCTGTGAAGTTTGGCTGCGGTGCGCAGTAGCTGCGTCACGCTGAGGCTGATGGAGGTGGACATGGACACGCTGTGAGAGCCACATGGACGTGGACACCGTCATCTTTTTCGTGTGTCTTTAGGACTCACCCCTGTGCTGATGGTCTCTTTAGCAGGTTTGGAGACAATATTTCTCGCCGCGGACATGAGCGGAATCTTCAACGCGCCGCGGAACAGACTGGAGGCGGCGGTGGACAGAGACATTTCTGCTGCTGTGAGGACAGGAGCTGAGGACAGAGACAGAAGGAGACGCAGTCTCACGCACAGCACTACGTTTCTCCAATATTTCTATGCTCACCTTTCACTCTGCGTATGTACGTGCAGATAGGCGCGGATCGTGCGTGTTTATGTGCGTTGGTGAGCGTGCATGTGACGTCGACCGCCGTCTGAGTCCCTATCTAATTGGCTAAATCTCTTGGGAGGTAAATGACACCGTGACCTGAACCGTGTCCTCGTGTGAACCTGCTGTGAACGCGCGTTTCTTCGCAGCAACTGTTGCAGCACAGACAGTTTTACACTTGACATCAGAACATGATCTAAGAAATACTAACTTTAATTTAACTAAACAAAAGAGAGGCAAAGATCAAAAGTTTGACCTTGAACTGAACTGAAAAGACTTAATTTTATAATCACTGGATATTTTATTTCAACTTGGTTTTGTTATGCAGACTTATTAAAGCCATATTCTTTTCAAAGTTGAGTTCTTTTAAAAGTTGAGTGCAAAGGAACCCATTTTCATGTAGTACCTCATTCCAGTACTCAAGCACTTTATCTGGAAGGTTTTTGAACTGAAGAAAGAACCCGTGACTAGGAGTAATTAGTGGAAATTGTTTCATAATAACCTATTATGAGAGTAAAGTGCGCTTTACTTTTTATATATACTGTCAACTGAATAGAAATGGAATTGGCAAAAATTGGTATCTCAAAGTCACACTTAATCAACCGAAAGTTGAAGTTGCTTTTGGCCAAAGATCAGTCGGAAAAAGAAGTTATTTAAACCATATGACATGATTGATTGTTAAAATACAATAACTGTCTCTTGGTGTCAGCTCTGACAAAAAAATTAAAATCTTAGAACTATTCTTAGAACTATTCCACATTACAACAAAAAACGAAATGTTCTTAATAACTTTCTACAAGAAATGTTGTGTTCAGAATAAACCGAGATGAATGAAATATGACAGAGAGAGAGAGTACGACAGGGTGACTAAAATGTATCAAGTTTCTTCAGGGTGTCCAGACGTAATTAAGCATTACTTCTGTAAAACCGGTAGAGGGCAGAAAGACACCCTGAATGGTTTGACTGTGCAGTAATGTAGGTAAAGAAGAAGAACCAAAGGCAGCGGTGTCGTTCAGTGAAGGTAGTTGAACAGGGAAGAGTTTGAATGAGTGACTGCGCTAGTTGTGTTCACCGCAAGAAAACCACATTTCCGGTAAGTTCGCTGTGTCCCGTTAAGTGTCGTATCTGAAATTACAGTCTGAGCTGCTACGTAGCAGCGTCGTGCCACATGTTAAGAAGAGCTGTTAGCATTAGCTGTATTAACATTATGGGTGCTTTCTCTGTCAAAATTGCTCTGTTTTTATATCATTTTAAATAAACGTGGTTTACATCCCCTATAAATGTCTGACATCTTACCTCTCATCTAACATATCAACAGATTACTCACACATTTGACTTTTACTGGAGTGCTAATTGTTTATTAGCTTGCTAACTGTTTACTGGTTGACAATGCAGAGGTAATTTAAGTTTTAAAAAATAAAACGTACTTCACATTCAGTTAATTTAAATGTATTTGCTACATTTTGCGTCGTTCTACTACATTGTTTGACTACGGCCTTTGGTTGACCTTGTCCTTTTTAAACTTGTCAAAAGTTTGTTGTTTTCCAGCATCTGTGGAGCAACTGTGTTTTATAATTAGTTTAAGTTAACGTGGGCGTCAATGTTTTTTCTATGATGATTTTTTTGTCTAGTTTTTATAACATGTACTGTTTTAAACGGCGCTTTTTTAAAGGATTGACATCATTTACTGTCCCTTGACTTCTACCACGCCTCTCCACGTCGGTATCTTTTCTAAGGTGACTTTTGAACACTTCCTGTTGACTTTAAGGGCAGCTTCACTCTTCGTCCGCACTTCGTCAACACTTGCACCACTCCAATGTAATCAAAACTGGTTTTGCAGTACATTTAATTTCACCTTGGTTTCAATGTACTTTTACAAATAACAACAAATCAAAATGGTGATAAAACTTTTCCTGTTGCTCAACTCTCAAATGTGGCCCCAAGTTTTGTTTGACAAAAATGATCCAGTTATTTTTATTTATTGTTTCCAACGCTGATAATCAGAGTTGTTTCATTGTTTTCAAACCACATGAGCTCAATTTATATTCAAACTGCTAACATTGTTGATCTACTTAAATAAACCACCCATGAAGGCAGTTAGACAGTCAACTGCAGTAGGACTTTTAAGTATTTGAAGTATCAGGCCTCGTACTAATACTGGGTTTAGTATCTTGAAGCTCCAGATGTATCTGATATAGATATAATATCCAATGACCTTTAGATATTGGGGCTGAGTGCAGTCTGATAGCATCAGTTCACAGTGGAAAGGCTTCAAACCATTTCGGTTTCATTGCTTCAGTTTACAAAAATCTCTTTACGAAAAGTGTTTTTGTCTGTATCTAACAGACAACAGTTGTTTTGTTTAGGTGAATTTTGTACTTTCAGGAAATCTTCAAACCATTTATAATCTTCTCTTTGAGTTTTGTTGTTGCTTAATATCTTTTAATAGTCAGAAATGACAAAAGGAGAATTTATTTTTAATTTACTTTATTTTATTTTTTTTATACATTTTACAAATTTATTAAAAGCCTTTTATTTCAGGCCAGATCTGTTGAACAGGGCTGCTGGTTGACATGTGCTGAAGTTGTTGTTAATGTCTGTTGTAGGTCCAGAGGAGCGGCTTCTGTTTTTACTCTCCGCTGGATCTATGATCTCCTTCCCACCTCCGCCCTTATATGACAGACCGTGTCTGTGGAGTGTATGCATGTATATGTACATCCAGTAGCCTAATGTGTATATGTGTGTGGGTGTGTGTGACTCCTAGGTAGTGCACGTGAATGTGTTTGTGCGTCTGTATTATTCCCTCCCTGTCCACCATGTCCCAGTGTTCCTGGAGATTCCACCTGAATCCATTCCTTGGTTTTCTGCTCCTCTTCCTGCTGCTGCTCCTCACTGACTCCTCCTTCTCCTCCTCCTCCATTCCACCTGACCCAGGCCATGTTCGAACCAACTCGCCCATCTTCACAACACCAGTCAACTGCACCACTGACTGTAAGTAATGTGAGCTGGGAACAAGACGTAAGAAATCTGCAGTATATCTGAAAACATACAATGTCCAAGTACATCAGCTGTGAGTGACACAGATGATACAGCAAAAAAAATCACTTTTTTTTTTACTTTATGTATCCATTACAATGAATGAAGAATGCATTCAAATGTAGGGTTTTTTTTTCATGATAATGAGGTTGAAAACCGTTACATTAGGAGCAGCCGCTCCACATGACTATGACAGATAATAATGAGCTGTGTTTTTTGCACCTCCCACAGAACAGCACAGGTGGAGAATCTCCTTTATTTAGTGATTCAGATAAAAATGTCCTAAACATTTTAGTTAAGGTAATAAACAAAATCCTCTTGAATTTCCTTCTTAACCCTAAAAAAGCTGCGATTTCTCTTCATTGTTTTGAATATTAGAAAAAGTTGAGGTCGTCTGTGATTCCTCAGCTCATTTCACTTGTCTGGTGTTTATCCTGAGTCAACAGTTTATTCGATTCTGTTATTGTGTAACCCCTGATGAATATTAGAACAGACTTTTTTCTTCTCTTTCAAACGGAGAATTCGCAGCCCGTTTCACTCAGCGACTCTCGGTTACTACCACAAGATGGCGCTAAAGTTTAACAAAAAAATCCTGCCCGGTCACTGCAGCAAGTTCTTTGCTGGGAGGCATCGAAGCTAGCTGACTTTAATAAATTTGTTTTCTTCCCTCCTGTTTCATCCCAGAGCTTCACATCTGACTTCTGTTACCAAGAGCAGACTTTTATCCCAGAATAAATAATCTGTCTGTGTTTAGATTTCCAAACTTCTCATCCACTAATCTGATCTGAGCAAACAATGTTGAAAGAGAGTGTTCTGGTTTCTGTCGGCTCGCTCCAGGTAGATCATTAAGTTTGGTGATCATTAACAGGAAATGTTTAAAAACAGATTGATCTGCACCAAACAAATATTCAAAGGTTCAATCCAAGCGCCATCAGCATAAATGCGATTTCAGCTACTCTAAATGTGGCATGATTTGTGTTAGTGGTTTTTAGGAGCTGCTGATCCACATTTTTTATCTTTACTCACAACCATCTTTGGGGTTTAAAAATGAAAAGAAAAAAAATCCAGTGACTTACAGTTGTCAGAATAAAAATGCTGTGAGGTCAGCGGAGACTTTCCACAGGGTTTTTTTTAACATCTTTCCTTTTCCATTTAACTGCTTAGAGCTCAACCTGCTACTCTGTTGTATTGGCCAGAATTTGCAGCAAAAATGAAAATAGGCGTCAAAGTTTGGTTAGTAACTCCTTTACATCAAACTATACCCCAGTAACTTCTCATCTTTGTGATCTGCTGTGCCTTTCTCTCAGAGATTGTCACCCCTCATTTCTTGTTACCTCCACCTATTCAGCCTCACTGCACACCGGAATCATTCTTACACTTAAAAATCAGGTTCAGAGTTTTTTTTAATATACTGTATATATGTAGACAAATGTTCACATCAGATCAGAAACAGTTCTTTCTTCAGGTCACATCTGTTGAGCGTTTGTTGTTTTCTGACCATAAAGCAGCAAACCCGTTTCCAGCAAAGTAGTATTGATTCAAAAGACGGCTGCTCATGCTAGCACTGATCACAAACAAATGTTTGCTGTTTATTTTTCAGTCGAGTCATTGATGGACTTTGTTGTTCCTCAGGTAATAATACTGGTGTCGTTAAAACGTCAACAGAGTCTAAAGATGTGCAGACCACACCTCAACAGAACTCTTTGTCCCCCACCCCAGACACTAACAACACTGGTCAAGTCTCCAGTCAGGTCAGTGACCAGTCGTTGTCCAACACCAGCAACCTGAAATTAGACGGCAATGCAGTAGCAGTTGTACCTGCACTCAACCAATCAGCACAGGCAAACCAGTCGTCCAAGAACTATTCCACAGTAATGCCTTCGAAGGACCCGTACTCCAATGGATCCATTACAAACAGCTCAACAGTTAGCAGTACAACACCAGTGCCTACAACAACAACGACGACGACCACCAAACAAACTCCAAAGGACAAAATGTTACCACCATCAGTGACTCTTACAACAGCAAAAACTACAGCCACATTAACGTCAACATCTACAACAACCACAACAACAACTGCTACAGCCTCACCATCAACCACGACTGAAACGCTGATCACGTCCACAACAGTGACGACAACAACAGCCATGTTGGCTTCGACCACAACTACAACAACACCAGTCCCTACAACAACAATGGCACCTCCAACCTCATTGTCCGGTGCAAACGAATCTGTTGCTAAAACCACAAAAAAGCCATCACTTGGCACCGTGGTCGTCCCCGGTTCCACCACAGGTGACCAGAGAATGGTTACCTCGGGAACAAAAGTCACGGTGGTCAAAGTAGCAGGTGCCGCTCGGAGCAAGCAGCTGGTGGACACCACGTCTTTACTGGTGGTCCTGGTCTTTGGACTTCTCTTCTTTGTGGTCACAGTGGCCTTGTTTCTTAGACAAGCGTACGAGAGCTACAGGAGGAAGGACTACACGCAGGTGGACTACCTGATCAACGGCATGTACACAGACTCTGGAGTCTAAAGGTGGAAGACACTCGTCCGTTTGTTTTCAGATTTAATTTTGCACTCAGAGGTTAGAGAGAGGTCAGATCAGGATCTTCCTTCCTCTGGACCGACTCGATCAGCAGATCACCTCAATGACTGGAGTCACTGTCTCGTATCAGTATCTTCTTCTCTCGCTACTCATCTCAAATGGATGACATTTTGTTTCCTTTTTTCTTTTTTTGAAAAAAAAAAATAGAAAACCTGGGTGGTTCTGCAGTTACCAGAGTAAAGCTCTAGAACGTTCCGGTGGTCCAGCCTAAACTCAGTAGTTTGTTTGGTGACGACTTGTTTGTTTCACATGTCGGTAACAAATATTTAAAACAAGAAAAAAAAACATTGTTCCCCATGAAAAAAGTACAAATTGTTTATGTTCTTGACTTGTTAAACGTTGACACATTTGAACAAATAACATTTAATTTCCCAACTGGCAGAATTAGGTTAAAAAACACCGCAGTACTCTGTTTAGTACTGCGTATACTCACCGACTTTCCTTATATTTCTGTTGGAAAGCAGTGTTTAGCAGTAAACCCTGACCCTAAGAACTGTGTTTAATGTAAAAACACCAACATTGGGGTAGTTCTGTTTGAACTTCCTGGTCAGGAACTGCTGATTAAGAATTGTTCCGACTAATTATTCTTTGTTCTTTAATTTAAATGAAATATAACCGTCTTCTAATAGAACATTTGTTTTTTGCAATATCTTTCCCTGTTAGGGACAAGAAGATGATAGCAATACAGTACAGTGCATTTAATGAGTTCTGGAATATTACTGACTTCACCTTTACCTCAAACCCTGTTAGCATGTCACTGGTCTCCAGCTAGCATGTAGAACCGTGGTCCATTGAGTGAGAAAACAAACTCTGATTAGAAGTTATTTCCAGTGTTTAAGATGGAAAATAGAAATGTGGTTCAAAAAATGGGAACATTGTCTTTGCTGTTCTTTACAATGACTGACTGAGTCACTAATTGGAATGAAAATGGCTTTAAGAAAAAGGTGGAGGTTTTAGCTGAATCATTCTTGTAGCTCTCCAATGAAATGTGATTGCAGTTAGCAGAGAGCCAAGAAAGAAATTAGACTCGACTGGATTTACAGCCTAGAGACCTGGGATAATCAAAAGTAAATAACCGTATAGAGAAATAAAATTTAAAAAAAGCTCAGTTCCACAGACGTTTCTCAGAAAGACATTAGAAACTGACAAAGGAACTGTTGTCAGCTGAAAACAGTGTTTCCACGGCTCTAAATGAAATCTCCTCAGACGTGGTCTGTTGTGTTGAGGCTCATGGTGTAAACAGTGCTGTACTGTCAAAGTGAGACCACCACCTCACCTCAGTCCAGTAAACACTGTGATGGGCTTTGTCGTCGTCTGTCAGTTGCACCTATTTTCTGCCTTGTGCACTTTATGAGCAGCAGAGGTTTGGTTTGTGGCTCTTGTTTACTCAGATGGCAGCTGCTAAACCAGATGATGACATGAAAAAAAAAACACACGTTACTACAGAAACTTGATTCTAACATGGGTCCAATGAATAACGCTGGGCTGCTCTGCTCATTACAATAGCAGCTGTGCATAGTTAGAATAATATGGTTCTGCTGCTGCTTTAAACAGGTTCTTGATAGTTTCATACCTCTATACCCACATGACAAATGACAGTGTTTGTTGTTTCTGTTTTACACATCAGTTGAACAGTTTAAAGGTACAGTCAGATCCTCTGTTTCCTGTAAATAAAATACAATTTATACTTTCCGCATCTGTGAGTTCGCCAAGGCTCTAATGTGGTACGGTTGACGTAAATGGGACACAATAAATGTGGGATCAGGTACACTATGCCTGGAGAACCAGACTGATGTCACGTCAGTGGTCGTCTTAGGAGGTGAATACAATTATTGTGTGGTTTTGCCGAAAAAATCATTAAGGAAAAGTACGTAGGTCTATTTTAAGGTTCCGTGTAAATTTCCATCCTGAAATATAAAACTTTATCTGTAGCTTCTGCGGAATCCCAGCTGAGCCAGGCATTAGTATCAGGAAGCAATACTACTACAGAACGAGTTTCTGTTTTTCAGACACTTTGATATCATATGTTGGTTTGTTTGCTGACAGTAAAGCATCATACAGTCCTCTGGGTGAACATCTGCGTAAACATTGTGCCAAATGAAATTATCAACGCCAGCAGAGGCTGGTTAGTTGTTTCTGTTGAACATAAACTCCATTGTAAGGGTCTGAAGTAGCCTACTTTACCCTCTAGGTGCTAGCTTAAATGCACATGGCAAAAAAAGAGAAAAATTAACATCAGTTTTCTTCATACAAGCCTTTTGATAAACATCTGCGTAAAGAGTGCTTCAAAGAAAAAGAGCCAGGCTAGCAGAGCTGTCTATACAGGACAAATGATGCTGGGCTGAATTTAGTTTTTGTAGAACTTCCAGACCAGTAGTGGGTGCTGTTGGTCTCTATACTTACATTACACTGTCATATAGGCTCTAGCTTATATGCTAACAGCAAAAAATGAGGAAAATTTACATCAGTCGTCTAACTCTTTTTGAGAGGTTTATCATATAATATTTTACCTCTAGGTTTGAATGCATATTTGAACTTTGGGGTAAAAGTGGCAGCGCTGTTTGTCGTTGATCAATTTTTGAAAAGTTTATGTGTACAAGAAAACAAGAGGCTGATCTTTTGGTCTTTGTCAATAACGACCACCGTGTATAGACGCCGACTTCTGCAAAGTAGCACTTATTTATTGAACCCGCTAACCCAGCAAACCGCAGAGGCAGCTTCTGCATGGTTACGCAGTTAAGAAAGAGTTCAGATAAAGTGGAAGCTCCAGATTTACATGAACGTCAGATGTGGTTTTTAGGTGATTCATGTCACGACTTCAGCTCCTGCTTCCACACTGTAATAAAGACAGGGAAACAGTTTCCGTTCACTAATCCAAGTTTAAACAGCAGCCTCATAAGAACACGATGATGATTTTTATTTTTATTTTTTTATCATTTCAAAGAACCACAGACCTGATGCTCAGTTACCAACAGCCCTGCAATAACACCATTAACACTTTTGTTTGTATGAAAAACAGAGGTGCAGAGGTCATAGGTAAACTGTGTGAGAACCAGAAGTGAAAGTGAAACTCATGTTGAACTCAACAGTTTCCTTGATCCTGAAACTGTTATTTTTTATTATTATTGTTTCAGTTGTACTACAGTATGATGGGTATTACTACTTGATGCACGTTATGGGAATGGTGGCCATTACAAATTGTTTTATTTTTATATTTTTCTGCATTGAATGTACTATAAATATGTTGTTTTTTTAATATTTACTTTGTACTTCTGCATTATTTCAATGTTTGTACCATTGATGTACTTTTTCTTTAAATATCTTTTATCTTATTTTTATCTAAATAGCTTTAGTTTCTATCGAAAGCTGAAAGCTCTGTGCAATTAACTGCTTTTTTTGTTCAAACATCTGTCTCATCATTCCTGCAAGAGTGGTGGTTGGTGGAACTTTGTAGAATAACCACTGAAGCACATACGAGTGTTTGATAAACCAATGGAAACGAAAAGCCATTTTCACACACGTTGACTGTTTTGAACGATTTGTCGGTGGAAAAAGAGAGAAACGTGTGGGGATGTGATGTGATGTAGCAAAGTGTGCTGATGTGTTTCAAATCTGTGGATGATTGTCAGACCCAGCAGTCTGTCTGTCTGTCTCTCTCTTGCTGTCTGTCTGTCTCTCTCTCGCTGTCTGTCTGTCTGTCTCTCTCTCTCGCTGTCTCTCTCTCTGTCAGTGCACTGGTGGGTTCATTGGATTATATATTAAACCAGTTTTTTCTGAAATGTGGTATTTGGATCAAAGCCTCATGTGTCCAGACAAGTGTGACTGGTTCCTGGTCACAGACCAGTGGGTTCATCACAGGTTCATGGTTAGAGCAGCAACTAGGACATGTTAAAGCCATGATAACCCAATAGATTTTGTCTGTAGGTGAAACAAATGAGCGGGCATCTTGGTTTTGAACCTCAGCTGTATGGTGCGTTTTGGAAAACTTTGCAGTCAGCAATTTCAGATTGCAGACTGGGAAGAGGGTGGAGTTGCTCCACCGTGACTTCACTGAGAAGCAGCAGCTGGTTGTTGAACAATAGCACTTTTAGCAAGAAGGCTCGTAATGGAGGCGACGTGCAGTGTGTTCTCAGATATTTTTTCCTCTTAGTTTTATTTACGATGTTAAAAGGACAGGATTACTGGACTTCAGTGCATCTCTTCAAACAAGAGCTAGCCTATCACGGTTGGCTCCAGTTTTTAAAAATTATTATTTATGGTTAATTTCATTCGCCTGAAAGACTGAGCTGGAACTTGGAACGCTCAAAGTGGAATCAGTCAGAGATTCCAGTCTTTCTCACGTTTCTCAACAAGTTTTTTGTTCTCTCTTTTTAATATCTAAAGCTTTGATTTATTGATAATCAATGATCATAATTAACCCACCCACGCCCAGGTGGCAGTGTTTGGTCTTATGTCAGCATTGATGCGTTTGCCAAAGTGAACACTCAGTCAATGTCAATCAAAGCAGAACGTTAAACCAGCTATTGTGAGCTTGTCTCTGGTGACTGTCAGTTGACTGTCAGTTGACTGTGTGGCAGCTCTCTGGTGTTTTCTTTTTTTGTCATGTTTGGAAAAAAAAGAAAAAGTATTAATGGCTTTGACACCTGACTGTTATCCTTTAAGCTGGCGTGTTTTGTTTTTTTAGTATTCAAAGTCTTCATGACAACTTTTCTCACAATAAAGGAAAACAGGTCTGTCTTAATGTTATGGGAAAACACACACAGACACATGTGTCAGGGTTACACCTCCTCAGAGATGAGGAAACTGGTGAAGTGATGACCAGAAGATGATGTCACAACAACATTCTAATCTCAAAGCAGTTTTAAAGTACTCAACTGGACTCACCTCAAGTTGAAGACGTTTCCCCTCTCTCTCCCTGTCTGTCTCCCTCTTGCTCCCTCTCTCTCTCTCATCCAAGAGGCTTCATCAGTTCTAGTTTTCTGGTGGGGAGTTTCCAGGTATTTATCCACCCCAAAGGGGGGTGTGGTGTGAAGTAAAGTGGACAATATGACCGTTAAATGGCTGTGTGAGTCGTTGGCCCCGTGGTGGATGGTTCGTTGGTGTTACCTGAATGGAGGTGTGAGTTACGCCTATGCTTCCTGGGGAGAGAACAAAGGACAGTATTGTAGGTGGGTGATAGTTGATGTCTGAGGCGCCCTCCTCTGTTCAAAGATGGTCTTTCCAGTTTGACATGGATGGCTTCCTTCACCCCTGATCATCAAAGAAGTGGCCCTTCTTCTTTGAGGGGGTGCAATGGTGGGGTGGTGGTCGACTGCTGAGTCCTGGCCTGATGTTGTGGTCCTCCTGTGTTGAACCATACGTCTGTGTAATGGCTGCTTTGTTTCCCAAATGCTTAAAGCACATCGTATCCACAACAACATTGTTGCAACCTCTGATGATTCTGTCATTGCAGGTTTTTGAAATTTTAGACGTTTTAAAATTTCGTTGCTGCTGAATGTGGCTGAAAGAAGGGGCAGGAAGAGGAGGAGGAGGAGGAAGAGTTTGTGTTCCAACTGATGCATTTTGAGATATTGTTCTTATTTGCTAAACAATGAATCAAGAACCTCCAGGCTTCTGTCGGTGTCTGTCAATCAAACGTTAGTCTTCAACTTACTGTATTATTATTGATTAAAAAATTTGTAAAAAAAAAGAAAAAAAATTAGCCCTGAGGGCCAACTGCTTCTCCTGTGATACTGTGTAATGTTACTTTTAATTAAGTTTCATATAATGCACTGCATTTTAACATGTTGAATGGAAAAAGGATGTTTTATTAATGTGTTATATAATATATTTTGGCAAATTTCTAAGTTGCGAAAGGTGATTTTGAGCTTTCAATCTTTAGAAATCGGTGACAGAACTTTTGTCTTTATGATCCTTTCTTTGGCTAGGTATTAGCATATATTAGCATGTCTCACAAAAAACCATCTCAGAGCTTATATTTCCCTCCTTTAGTATTTTTCTCTTTTTTGTTTTGACTCACCATTTATTTGTTTATTTATTTATTTTTTAACCAATTTAAGAAATTTCTGCGCAGACTTTTTAAATTTTCTGTCACATTTTAGCAATTTTTAGATACTTTCATCATCTCAGTTTTTTTTTTCAAATAAACTTTATACATAGTGTTTAGCAGTTTGGATCCATTAGCTTACTTACGTTTTTGCTATTTCTGGGTTGATTTGAAAATTTCTATTTCTGTGTAAACTTTTGTCTACCTTATTCATCACAATTCTCAAATTGTGATTTTTTTTTGCTATCCTCAATCCCTGGTTTTGTTGTCATATCATTGAAATGATCTAAAAGCAAAAACGTTTCATGAAAATCTCCTTATATAATTAAGCGTAATCTTTTTCTTTGCCCTCAATGTTGGCATAAAAAAACCTGTCCACTACTATGAAACGTATAAGAGCTACACATCATGGGGGAAATTTGATCGCCGACTCTAATGGAATCTGTTGTCGCGTTGGCCTTTGTTCATATCCCTTGACCTGCACTGTGGTCCGAACACTTTCCAACCACCGAAATTCCACTCCAGTCCCTGAACCGTCAGCTTCCCTCCACGTGCGGCCCAGTGTGTCGCACCGGCAGGCTTTTCATCGTAGTCATCTGCCACAAATCTGCCAACACACCCACAACAGAGACAACACACACAGCCACACATCACTCAGAGCTCATGGAGTCCAAACAGGACCGGCCATTCTCAGACTAAACACCACACACATACACTAAACACGTTTGTCAGTCACAAAAACACAGCCTGACTCACTCACTGCAGTGCAACCTTCAGTCTCCCCTGTTTTGTTTTCCCACTCAGGAATGTACGCACATTTCAGCACAACGCTTCGTCAGTTCTGTTGGATGCAGCGCTTTGGTCCAGAGGTGTTCATGTGGGAACAGAGGCTCTGGGGAAACTGTGTTTAAAGGTAGAGTCTGTGGGAATCTGCACTGATTGGTAGTGAACACACGGCATGAACTACAGCATAGAATAGAATAGAATGTACAATGAAATTGCAGAAGTAAAATCAGGACAAGATGAGACGACTATTAATACTTGGCTAAACTGTAAAGACTGCTAATAAAACTACAACAACCAGGCACTAAGTAAAACCATTAGCATAGCTAAGGCTAACATCATACACATATAAACAACTTGTTGTTGCACAGCAAACGTATTCCTATACTCAAACAGAAGACTGTTATATTAGCATGGCCGCGAGGCAGATATCGCAGAGATTACAGCAATTAGGTCTGTTGCACCCTTTCATCCTGCAGAGGATGCTATACAAGCAGCAGTGAATAACCTGGTTCATTATTAGAATATTATTGCTTTTACAGCATGATCCTTAGTTTCCTTAGTTTGTTCATTAACACATTATATTCTTGCTGAACAAGACTGAGAGAAAAATACATAATTATTATAATTGAAATGATTTCCACCGCCAAAGGAGTGCGCCCCCTACTTTAAGAATCATGGACTTGGAGAGTTAGTTTCATGTTGAGGTAAATTACAGTTACCCACCAGGTCAGAGCAGACACCATCTTACCACATAATGATTGGTTGAAGTTTTTAATTTAATTTTTTTTTACACATTCCCATTCATGTTTGCTACAATTTGAAACTCGAACTGATGTGAGAAGAAAGATCCATTTCCAGAGAGTAGATCTCAGGCTGGTGTTTGGAAACATGTCCACATTTACTGAGGCTATTAAATTAATTTGGATTCTGCTTTTATTTGTTTGGAAAGTGTGTTTTTCCCCTCAGATTTTAAAGGCTGTGTGTGGGCAGTTAATATGAGTAATGTCTGCTAAAAGTCCAGGAGGTGGAGGAGGAGGAGGAACAAACAGCATCTACACAGTCACAGACCTGACGGCTGCACAGGAACCAACTCAATGAGGAGGTAAATGATGTGTGTGTGTGTCCGTGTGTGGACTTTCTCACGCTCCATTCTGATGGTGAAGGATCTCTGTTCAACATCGTCCAATCATATGTCCCTATTGGGCGGTGAGAGATTGTTGTCGAATGATTCTATTGGTCAATTCATGTTCACTGAAGTGTCATATATATGAATGTGAGCCACATCTATCTATTTTCCAGACTATAAGTCGCTCCAGCCAAAGAATGAAAAAAAGTGCGACTTACAGGAGTAGGAGATACTAGTGCACAAGCCTAGAGTGCCCTTTAGTGGCTGTCAGTGTGAAAATAACAAACTTGAAATTATATATTTTAATGTAAGTCTAGTAAGTGAGAATAAGTCACAGACCTTGCCAAAGGATGAAAAAACCTGCAACTTAAAGTCCGGAAAAATACGGTAAGAGAGACAGGGAACGTTGTTGCAGTGAAACCTCGTGGTCCTGACTGAAAGACAGCAGCCAATGACAAAAACACAGGTTTAAAACTCAAACCATGTTTACACTGATGTGCAGTGTCTGTTTGTTGATCCATCAGAAGAGTTCTAGGTTTGAAGTGAACCTCCACCTTCAGGTTTGATATCTGTTTTTATTTCTTAATAATAAGCCTGTTTGGTCGTTCAAATCTGCAGAAGTGACTCAATAACAAAGAATATTGTAACAGAAAGAAACAGTGCTCCTAAACTACTGACTGGTGGGCCACTTCCAGCCCCATGTTAATAGATGTTAATAACTAAAAAAAAACTTCAATAATCAAACTCTTTAGTTGGCCATTTAAGAACGATGAGAAAATGATATTAGTTGTTTATAATATAGTGTTAATAATTACAGTACTCACAT